TTGGTGTCACCACAGTGGTGGCTTTTGTCACCTGGAGGTGACATCGGCCCTGGAGATCCCCAAGGGGGTTTGGGCTGGTTTTGGGTGGTTTTGGGGTGATTTTGAAGTTTTTGGGGTCTCTGGTGACCCCAATATTGTCCCTTGGTGGACTCAGGTCCTGTCCCCCCTTGGTGTCACCACAGTGGTGGCTTTTGTCACCAGGAGGTGACATCAATCCTGGAGGTCCCCAAGGGGTTTTTGGGCTGGTTTTGGTTGTTTTGGACGATCCTGGATGGTTTTTGAGGGAATTTTGGAGGTTTTGGGGTCTCTGGTGACCCCAAACTTGTCCCCTGGTCCTGTCACCTACTGGGGTCACAGTGGTGGCTTTTGTCACCTGGAGGTGACATCGGCCCTGGGTGTCCCCAAGGGGGTTTTTGGGCTGGTTTTGGTTGATTTTTGGGGTGATTTTGAAGTTTTTGGGGTCCATCATGACCCCAATCTTGTCCCCTGGTAGACTCAGATTTCTGTCCCCCCTTGGTGTCACCACAGTGGTGGCCTTTGTCACCGTGGGTGACATCGGTCCTGCAGGTCCCCGAGGGATTTTTTGTGCTGGTTTTGGGTGGTTTTGGGTCATTTTTGGGGGAATTCAGAAGTTTTTGGGGTCCATCATGACCCCAGTCTTGTCCCCTGGTGGACTCAGGTCCTGTCCCCTCTTGGTGTCACCACAGTGGTGGCTTTTGTCACCAGGAGGTGACATCGGCCCTGGAGATCCCCAAGGGGGTTTGGGCTGGTTTTGGTTGTTTTGGACGATCCTGGATGGTTTTTGAGGGAATTTTGGAGGTTTTGGAGTCTCTGGTGACCCCAAACTTGTCCCCTGGTCCTGTCACCTACTGGGGTCACAGTGGTGGCTTTTGTCACCTGGAGGTGACATCGGCCCTGGAAGTCCCCAAGGGGGTTTGGGTTGGTTTTGGGTGGTTTTTGGGGTGATTTTGAAGTTTTTGGGGTCCATCATGACCCCACTCTTGTCCCTTGGTGGACTCAGGTCCTGTCACCCCTTGGTGTCACCACAGTGGTGGCTTTTGTCACCAGGAGGTGACATCAGCCCTGGAGGTCCCCAAGGGGGTTTGGGCTGGTTCTGGGTGGGTTTTGGGGTAATTCAGAAGGTTTTGGGGTCCATCATGACCCCAATATTGTCCCCTGGTAGACTCAGGTCCTGTCACCCATTGGTGTCACCACAGTGGTGGCTTTTGTCACCTGGAGGTGACATCAATCCTGGAGATCCCCAAGGGGTTTGGGCTGGTTTTGGGTGGTTTTGGGTGGTTTTTGGGGGAATTCAGAAGGTTTTGGGGTCCATCATGACCCCAGTCTTGTCCCCTGTTGGACTCAGGTCCTGTCACCTCTTGGTGTCCCCACAGTGGTGGCTTTTGTCACCAGGGAGTGACATCGGTCCTGGAGATCCCCAAGGGGGTTTGGGCTGGTTTGGGCTGTTTTGGGTGATCCTGGATGGTTTTTGAGGGAATTTTGGAGGTTTTGGGGTCTCTGGTGACCCCGATCTTGTCCCTGGTCCTGTCACCTACTGGGGTCACAGTGGTGGCTTTTGTCACCTGGAGGTGACATCGGCCCTGGAGGTCCCTGAGGGGGTTTGGGCAGGTTTTGGGTGGTTTTTGGGGTAATTTTGAAGTTTTTGGGGTGTCTGGTGACCCCAATCTTGTCCCCTGGTAGACTCAGATTTCTGTCCCCCCTTGGTGTCACCACAGTGGTGGCTTTGGTCACCAGGAGGTGACATCGGTCCTGGAGGATCCCAAGGGGGTTTGGGCTGGTTTTGGGTGGTTTTGGGTCATTTTGGGGGAATTCAGAAGGTTTTGGGGTCCATCATGACCCCAGTCTTGTCCCCTGGTGGACTCAGGTCCTGTCACCTCTTGGTGTCACCACAGTGGTGGCCTTTGTCACCAGGGGTGACATCGGCCCTGGGCGTCCCCAAGGGGGTTTGGGCTGGTTCTGGGTGATTTTGGGGTGATTTTGAAGTTTTTTGGGGTCCATCATGACCCCAATATTGTCCCTTGGTGGACTCAGGTCCTGTCNATTTCTGGGGTAAATCTGAAAGTTTTGGGGTGTCTGGTGACCCCAATCTTGTCCTCAGGTAGACTCAGATTTCTGTCCGCCCTTGGTGTCACCACAGTGGTGGCTTTTGTCACCTGGAGGTGACATCGGCCCTGGAGATCCCCAAGGGGGTTTGGGCTGGTTTTGGGTGGTTTTGGGTCATTTTTGGGGTAATTCAGAAGGTTTTGGGGTCCATCATGACCCCACTCTTGTCCCCTGGTGGACTCAGGTCCTGTCACCTCTTGGTGTCACCACAGTGGTGGCTTTTGTCACCTGGAGGTGACATCAATCCTGGAGGTCCCCAAGGGGTTTTTGGGCTGGTTTGGGCTGTTTTGGACAATCCTGGATGGTTTTTGAGGGAATTTTGGAGGTTTTGGAGTCCCTGGTGACCCCGATCTTGTCCCTGGTCCTGTCACCTACTGGGGTCACAGTGGTGGCTTTTGTCACCAGGAGGTGACATCGGCCCTGGAGGTCCCCAAGGGGTTTGGGCTGGTTTTGGTTGTTTTGGACAATCCTGGATGGTTTTTGAGGGAATTTTGGAGGTTTTGGGGTCCCTGGTGACCCCAAACTTGTCCCCTGGTTGTGTCACCTACTGGGGTCTCAGTGGTGGCTTTTGTCACCAGGAGGTGACATCGGTCCTGGAGGTCCCCAAGGGGGTTTGGACTGGTTTTGGGTGATTTTTGGGGTGATTTTGAAGTTTTTGGGGTCTCTGGTGACCCCACTCTTGTCCCTTGGTGGACTCAGGTCCTGTCACCTCTTGGTGTCACCACAGTGGTGGCTTTTGTCACCTGGAGGTGACATCAGCCCTGGAGATCCCCAAGGGGGTTTGGGCTGGTTCTGGGTGGTTTTGGGTCATTTTTGGGGTGATTTTGAAGCTTTTGAGGTCCATCATGACCCCAATATTGTCCCCTGGTGGACTCAGGTCCTGTCACCCCTTGGTGTCACCACAGTGGTGGCTTTTGTCACCTGGAGGTGACATCAATCCTGGAGATCCCCAAGGGGTTGGGGCTGGTTTTGGGTGGTTTTGGGGTGATTTTGAAGTTTTTGGGGTCTCTGGTGACCCCAATATTGTCCCCAGGTGGACTCAGGTCCTGTCCCCCCTTGGTGTCACCACAGTGGTGGCTTTTGTCACCTGGAGGTGACATCGGCCCTGGAGGTCCCCAAGGTGGTTTGGGCTGGTTTTGGGTGGTTTTTGGGGTGATTTTGAAGGTTTTGGGGTCTCTGGTGACCCCAGTCTTGTCCCCCTGGTGGACTCAGGTCCTGTCCCCCCTTGGTGTCACCACAGTGGTGGCTTTTGTCACCTGGAGGTGACATCGCTCCTGGAGGTCCCCAAGGGGTTTTTGGGCTGGTTTTGGGTGATCCTGGATGGTTTTTGAGGGAATTTTGGAGGTTTTGGGGTCCCTGGTGACCCCAATCTTGTCCCTGGTCCTGTCACCTACTGNTGTCCCCAATGTCCCCGCAGATGCGCAGCCACCCCTCCCTGCTGAGCCGCCTCATCTCCACCAACCTGTTCTACTTCAAAAGCCCCTGGTGGGAGCTGCGGGCGGCGGCGGCCATGTTCACCGGTGAGGGACGGGGACACCGCGGTGGTGGCCTTTGTCACCGGGGGTGACATTGATCCTGCAGGTCCCCCAGGGGGTTTGGGGCTGGTTTTGGGTCATTTCTGGGGTAAATCTGAAAGTTTTGGGGTGTCTGATGACCCCATTCTTGTCCCCTGGTAGACTCAGATTTCTGTCCCCCCTTGGTGTCACCACAGTGGTGGCCTTTGTCACCAGGGGCCTTTGTCACCGGGGGTGGCCTCGGTCCTGCAGGTCCCCAAGGGGGTTTTTGGGCTGGTTCTGGGTGGTTTTGGGTCATTTTTGCGGTAATTCACAAGATTTTGGGGTGTCTGGTGACCCCAGTCTTGTCCCCAGGTGGACTGCTCTCCTTGGTGGTGGCCTTTGTCACCGGGGCCTTTGTCACCGGAGGTGGCATCTGTCCTGCAGGTCCCCCAGGGGGTTTTTGGGCTGGTTTTGGGTGGTTTTGAGTCATTTTTGGGGTAAATCTGAAAGTTTTGGGGTGTCTGGTGACCCCAGTCTTGTCCCCTGTTAGACTCAGATTTCTGTCCCCCCTTGGTGTCACCACAGTGGTGGCTTTTGTCACCAGGAGGTGACATCAGCCCTGAAGGTCCCCAAGGGGTTTTTGGGCTGGTTTTTGGTGGTTTTAGGGCATTCTGGGGACATTTTGGGGTCCCTGGTGACCCAAACTTGTCCCCTGGTAGATTCAGGTCTCTCTTCTCCTTGGTGTCACCACAGTGGTGGCCTTTGTCACCAGGAGGTGACATCAATCCTGGAGGTCCCCAAGGGGTTTTTGGGCTGGTTCTGGGTGGTTTTGAGTCATTTTTGGGGTAAATCTGAAAGTTTTGGGTTCCCTCATGACCCCAGGCTTGTCTCCTGGTTGTGTCACCTCTTGGTGTCACCACAGTGGTGGCCTTTGTCACCAGGAGGTGACATCAGCCCTGGAGGTCCCCAAGGGGGTTTTGGGCTGGTTTTTCGTGATCCTGGATGGTTTTTGAGGGAATTTTTACCATTTTGGGGTCCCTGGTGACCCAAACTTGTCCCCTGGTAGACTCAGGTCCTGTCCCCCCTTGGTGCCACCACAGTGGTGGCCTTTGTCACCAGGAGGTGACATCAGCCCTGCAGGTCCCCAAGGGGTTTTTGGGCTGGTTTTGGGTGGTTTTGGGTGATCCTGGATGGTTTTGGGGGCAGTTTTGAAGATTTTGGAGTCCCTGATGACCCCAAACTTGTTCCCAGCTGGTTCTGTCACCTCTTGGTGTCACCACAGTGGTGGCCTTTGTCACCAGGAGGTGACATCAATCCTG